ACAGAATCGTTACTGAGGGACACAGAATCGTTACTCAGGGACACAGAATCGTTACTCAGGGACACAGAAATCGTTACTGAGGGACACAGAATTGTTACTGAGGGACACAGAATCGTTACTCAGGAAACAGAATCGTTTACTCAGGGACACAGAATCGTTACTCAGGGACACAGAATCGTTACTCAGGGACACAGAATCGTTACTCAGGGACACAGAATCGTTACTCAGGGACACGAGAATCGTTACTTCACTCAGGGACACAGAATCGTTACTGAGGGACACAGAATCGTTACTCAGGGACACAGAATCGTTACTCAGGGACACAGAACAGCAACATGTTACTCAGGGACACAGAATTGTTACACATGGACACAGAATCGTGCTACTCACTCAGGGACACAGAATTGTTACTCAGGGACACAGAATCGTTACTCGAGGGACACAGAATTGTTACTCAGGGACACAGAATCGTTACTTACTGCTGGACACAGAGACCATTGTTATTGAATTAAACAGTATGTTCTCAGGGACACAGACAATCGTTTACACGCACAGAATTGTTACTCAGGGAGACAGTAAATCGTTACTGAGGGCACAGAATCGTTATCAGTGGGAGACACAGAATGTTGTTAATGGGAGACACGAGCAGACTGGCAGCAGGAAGGGGTCGAGGCAGCAGAACTTGTACTTCGCAGCCACAGGCCAGTGCTCCCGGTGTCATCCAGCAATTGGTAGTCTCCACCGACAACCCTGCCGTCATCGATTGGTTGACTGGTCGGGAGAAACTCGTCCACTATTTGAATTAAAGAGTATGTCCAGACAACACGCCAGGCTGACACCTACAGCCAGAGGACGGTCGGTTGGGTACGTCAGACACAACCGTTAGTTGGCATGGCCCGGGAGCAAGCCCACTGAAATCACGTGTCCTCTACCTGCCCCTGTCCTTTGGTGTTCCCTCACCAAGCGAAGTATCGCATGCTGTGGGCTCAGCCCCACTGTACAGTGAGGAAGAGCTAACAGAGGGCGGTCAGGAACGGGGGGAGACATCCGCCTCTTCAGCAGCCAGGCGAAGAAGTACTGGCGAGGAGAGTGGCTCGGTAGCCGGTCTAGAGACAGGTCTGTCTCCTGACCCACACGCAGCCGAGGGGGCTAGTAGTGACGCGGAGACCCTAATTGATGATGATGAGGCTGATCGCACTTGGCAGCCTCGTCGTCATCAGGCTATTGCTTCCGCATCATCAGGAGAAGAGGGTGCCAGCTTGCCAGCGAGCAAAACAGTCGGTGGGTTGCCCAGGAGGCAGCAGGGTCGCAGCAGTGTCAGTGGAGCCAAACGGCCACGGAGTAGAGCACCAGCTCCACTGCAGCCTACCACCACGGCCAGTAGTGGTGCCGGTGTGCACGGAGGAAGTAGCAGTCAGCCAGTGAGGAGTAGCGGGGGCAAAGTTTCCTACTCGGCGGTGTGGCAATTTTTCGTCAAGCCGCCCGAGGAAGTAAACGTAGCCGTATGTCGACTATGTGGCCAGAAAGTCAAGCGTGGCCAGGGGGCCCATGTTTGGGACTACAGCGTTGCGTCAGCATATGCAGCGTCGCCATTCGGTGGCCTGGGAAAACCGTGATAAAGATACGGCGGTTCTGCCTGCCCCAGCCCCCGCTCCATCACCCGCTCCGTTACTTGCTCCGTCACCCGACGTCAATCGCCCTCTATCAGCCAGTCAAGGCTCCAACACCTCTGCTGAGGGAGTTGTCGCTCGTTGGCATCTTCCGCTCGTTCAGATGCTCCTTCTCCTGCTACTCCTCTTCACGGATTCCGTCAGCAGTCTTTCTTGGAATACGTTTCCAAGAGACAACAGTTTGCGAGCACGCACCCGACGGTGCAGAAGCTGAACGTCCTCCTGTCCAAGTTGCTGGTGCTGCAGTCCCTCCCTTTCCAAGTGGTGGACTCAGCACCTTTCCGAGAAATGATGGCTTGTGCCGAGCCGCGTGGAGAGTGCCAAGCCGGCATTTCTTCGCCAAAAAGGCAGTGCCAGCCCTGCATTCACATGTAGAAGAGATGGTGGGCCAGTCTTTGAGCATGTCGGTCTCTGCCAAAGTGCACGGCAGCGCCGACGAGTGGAGCTGTAACTACGGTCAGGGACAGTACATGTCATTTACGGCCCACTGGGTGAACGTGGTGCCGGCACAGCCGCACCAGCAACTTGGACAGGTCACGCTGCTTTTGCCTCCACGTTTGCACGTCCTTGGTCCAGCAAAGATGTCCGCCTCTACCACCTCTTCTTCCGCCGTGTCCTCAGCCGCCACCCCCGTGCCAAGTCCCATTACCCGACCGGCATATCACATGCAGGGCGCAACGGTGTCACGCTGTTCTGCACCTGGTATGCCTTGGCGAACGTAGTCACACAGGGGAGGAACTTCTGAGTGTAATGAACAGAGAAATCAACAGATGGCTGTCTCCGCACAAACTGAAAATCGGAACCATGTTGACCGACAACGGAAAGAACATGGTGTCTGCTCTGCGTCAAGGAAGGTTGTGCCATGCGCCATGCATGGCTCACGTGTTCAATCTGGTTGTCAAGCGGTTCCTAAAATCCACCATCCCACTGCAAGACATCCTTAAAATGTCACGTAAACTTTGCATGCATTTCAGCCATTTCTACACCGCAAAAGCACACCCTCCTTGAGCTGCAGCGGCAGAACGGAATTCCACAGCATCGCCTGATCTGCGACGTTGCAACAAGGTGGAATTCAACCCTACATATGTTAGACCGCCTTTACGAACAGCGAAAGGCCATCACCGATTTCCTGATGTTACAAGCGGATAAAGGTACTCCCCTGTGTAACTTAGATGTCAGCCATTGGCAGCTCATGCGTGACACCTGCCGCTTGCTCAGGCCCTTTGAGGAGGCTACGCTATTCGTGAGTCGGCAGGACTATGGGATGAACGACGTCATTCCTCTGTTGCACGTCCTGGAACAAATGCTGTTAACAATGGCTGGTCAGGGTGCGGTAGACGTGGCGCACAGATCTCAACGCCACATGACCCCTGTGGGGGCAGGACAGGAAGAAGAGGAGGAGGTAGAGGAGGACATTGGTGCTCAGGAATTATTGAGTGAAATGGGTTTTTTTTCCACACAGCGGACAGGAGTGGAGGAGCAGGAGCATCTGGTAGAGGAGGAGGAGGAAACAGAGGACCCAGACGCACCGTGGCAGTATGCTGTGGAGATGGAGGCAGGGAGTCCCTCGCATTCCTTGGCACAAATGGCCCATAGCATGCTCGGTTTGCTTGCGTAGCGACAGCCGAATAATAACCATCAGACAGAGGGATGACTTTTGGCTGTCCACCTTGTTGGACCCTCGCTACCGTTCAAAAATGGTGGCCTTTTTCACACCTGCTGAGAGGGAGGCCAAAATAAAGTACTATAAAAACCACCTATGTAGTCAGTTGGTCCTCTGCCTTTCTGCGCCAACGTCCATCCTCAGACACTGTGGGCCCTGTGCGCTCGCGTTCCGCTGCCATGGCAGCAGGGGAGGGGTGGGGTGGTAGGAGCAGTGGCAGCTCCACCAGCAGCGGCTGCCTCAGTCTGCAGTCGATGATGAGTAGCTTTCTTCACCAGCGCAGTGAGGAAACTACTAACCAGCCGCAGCAGCAGCAGCATCAGGTGGACCTGGAGCAGGACCTCAAACAACAGGCTCGGGCCTACTTGGACAGCACCCTGCCAACCGAGGTAGACAATCCCCTTGACTACTGGGCAACGAAACTTGACCTTTGGCCCCAACTAGCTGAATTTGCCCTTGAAAGGCTGTCATGCCCGGCCAGTAGCGTGGCATCGGAGCGCGTGTTTAGTGCGGCAGGAGGTATTGTAACTCTGCGGAAGACACGACGTCCACCCAAAGTGTGGAGAGACTCACGTTTGTGAAAAGGAATCAGGTGTGGATTAGTCTGGATTTCAAACCACCAGTTCCTGACACAACTGACTAAATCCGCCATGAATCATGCCCCAAACATGTTATTATTTTTAACATAGGCCTCTGTATGGCCTTCAATTTAAGCTGCTTACGCTTCGCCACTCTGCCATGGGCCCCTGTACCGCCTCCTCTTGCTGCTGCCAGGTCCAGAGTGTGTCATGGGTCCTGTACGGCCTCCCATTGCTGCTGACTTCATCGCCAGACTCTGCCATGTGCCACTTTCAGGTCTCCTTACACTGTTGGTGGGTTCCATTTTGTGATAGGGTGCTGTATGGCCTTCCATTGCTGCTGCCTCCACCGCCACCCTGCGCCATGTGCCTCTGTCATCTCTGCTCACGCTGCTGACGGCTTCCGCTTTTTAACCGAGGCCTGTGTTTGGCTTCCGAATACTGCTGCCTCCACCGCCACCCCCCCGCTGCGCGCCATGTGCCTCTGTCGTCTGCTCACGCTGCTGCCAGGTCCATATTGATTCATGGCCCCCTGTACCGGCTCCTCATGAACGTGGTTCAGCGGGTTTGCATCACTTAACGGCAAATCGTTGACAAACGCTGGGACGTTCAGTGTTGTGCGCATTAAGCCAGACACCAAAGGGCAGCACAGACCTGTTATTACTCGCTCAAGCATGGCTGAACAAAACCAGTCTCTACCACAAATTGGACCCAGACCTGCCCAGGGTCTCGTAAGTAGATTGCACGGAGGAGTAGAGTTCGTTATTGGAATTAACTGTGAGGGACTTTTAAACCTAGGCCTGTGTATGGCCTTCAATTGAAGCTGCTTCTGCTCCGCCACTCTGCCATTGGACTCTTGATAGTCGACGACTAATAGTCGTCTCCCCACACTGCTCCTGGGGGGACTTTTTAACATAGGCCTCTGTATGGCCTTCAATTTTAGCTGCTTACGCTCCGCCACTCTGCCATGGGCCCCTGTACCGCCTCCTCATGCTGCTGCCAGGCCCGTAATCTGCCATGGACCCCCGTACCGACTCCTCATGCTGCTGCCAGGCCCGTAATCTGTCATGGGCCCCCTGTACCGCCTCCTCATGCTGCTGCCAGGTCCAGAGTGTGTCATGGGTCCCTGTACGGCCTCCCATTGCTGCTGTCTCCATCGCCACACTCTGCCATGTGCCACTTTCAGGTCTCCTCACACTGCTGGTGGGTTCCATTTTGTCATAGGGTGCTGTATGGCCTCCCATTGCTGCTGCCTCCACCGCCACCCTGCGCGCCATGTGCCTGTCGCCTGCTCACGCTGCTGACGGCTTCCGCTTTTTAACGGAGGCCTGTGTTTGGCTTCCGAATACTGCTGCATGACCACCGCCACCCTGCGCCATGTGCCTCTGTCGTCTGCTCACGCTGCTGACGGCTTCCGCTTTTTAACCTAGTCCTGTGTATGTCTTCCGAATACTGCTGCCTCCACCGCCACCCTGCGCCATGTGCCACTTTCAGGTCTCCTTACACTGTTGGTGGGTTCCATTTTGTGATAGGGTGCTGTATGGCCTTCCATTGCTGCTGCCTCCACCGCCACCCTGCGCCATGTGCCTCTGTCGTCTGCTCACGCTGCTGACGGCTTCCGCTTTTTAACCGAGGCCTGTGTTTGGCTTCCGAATACTGCTGCATCCACCGCCACCCTGCGCCATGTGTCTCTGTCGTCTGCTCACGCTGCTGACGGCTTCCGCTTTTTAACCTAGGCCTGTGTATGGCTTCCGAATACTGCTGCCTCCACCGCCACCCTGCGCCATGTGCACTTTCAGGTCTCCTTACACTGTTGGTGGATTCTATTTTGTGATAGGGTGCTGTATGGCCTTCCATTGCTGCTGCCTCCACCGCCACCCTGCGCCATGTGCCTCTGTCGTCTGCTCACGCTGCTGACGGCTTCCGCTTTATAACCGAGGCCTGTGTTTGGCTTCCGAATACTGCTGCATCCACCGCCACCCTGCGCCATGTGTCTCTGTCGTCTGCTCACGCTGCTGACGGCTTCCGCTTTTTAACCTAGGCCTGTGTATGGCTTCCGAATACTGCTGCCTCCACCGCCACCCTGCGCCATGTGTCTCTGTCGTCTGCTCACGCTGCTGACGGCTTCCGCTTTTTAACGTAGGCCTGTGTATGGCTTCCGAATACTGCTGCCTCCACCGCCACCCTGCGCCATGTGTCTCTGTCGTCTGCTCACGCTGCTGACGGCTTCCGCTTTTTAACCTAGGCCTGTGTATGGCTTCCGAATACTGCTGCATCCACCGCCACCCTGCGCCATGTGTCTCTGTCATCTGGTCACGCTGCTGACGGCTTCCGCTTTTTAACCTAGGCCTGTGTATGGCTTCCGAATACTGCTGCCTCCACCGCCACCCTGCGCCATGTGCCACTTTCAGGTCTCCTTACACTGTTGGTGGGTTCCATTTTGTGATAGGGTGCTGTATGGCCTTCCATTGCTGCTGCCTCCACCGCCACCCTGCGCCATGTGCCTCTGTCATCTGCTCACGCTGCTGACGGCTTCCGCTTTTTAACCGAGGCCTGTGTTTGGCTTCCGAATACTGCTGCATCCACCGCCACCCTGAGTGTGTCATGGGTCCCTGTACGGCCTCCCATTGCTGCTGTCTCCATCGCCACACTCTGCCATGTGCCACTTTCAGGTCTCCTCACACTGCTGGTGGGTTCCATTTTGTCATAGGGTGCTGTATGGCCTCCCATTGCTGCTGCCTCCACCGCCACACTGTGGCTCCACACTCTGGTTTTGGCCCCGTGACTGCCCAAATGAGTGAAGTGTGCGGTGGATTCTAAGATCGACGGCACTCATCTGCATGTCATACTGACTGACAGTATTAGTTCTCTTCCCCAGCAGACTCCAAGGGCATTTAAATTAAAGGTACAGTGTTCTCATCTCTAGATACACCAATTTATCCATCCGAGACTAGTCCCACATGGCGAGGAGTTACTTGAACCAAAGCTTCCAGAAAATGTGATATCTAGCGACAATGCTGATGAGGTGGTGCATATACAAAAAAAGGAAAACACAAGTTCTAACTCAACATTTAATAGTTATCCACTCTTCTAATGAGCCATATTTGCTGGCTCAGATAAGTCTGAGTAGCCTTTTTTAGATGTGGAGACACAGGCTTTTTGTTTTGGTTTAAAGCAGTATTAAACCCAAAAACATTTATTATATTGCAGCTAACCAATTCTATTTCAATGGTTTTTATTAATTTTTAAACAGTATAAAAGAGAGGCAATAAAACACACCCACACAGGGGCTATCAATTGCACAGATAAAAAAAATGCAAAATAAAAAAAAAAGGAAAAACGGTGCTCTAATGCCAACAGGCCAAAAGGTACGCCCACGCAGAGGCTGCAGCTAACCAATTCTTAGCTGTAATAGCTGCGTTAGTTTTCTTTCATAGGACTTACTTTCTTCTATTTTCATCTGGTGATTCAACCAGTAAGTCTGCTGTTTTTAATTTAAAAAAAAAAGCTATCTTCAAGATGTATCAGGATTACAGGGTTAAGACAAACCATTTAACACTGACAAGAGTGTTTACGATTAAGATGCTTATATTTATTCATGTAAAACCTTTATTCTAAAAGGCAATAAACAGTTTGCTGTAACTAATTATAAAGTGTGAGCTGGAGTTTGGTTTCAACGTGTTAGTGTATCTAAATCCGCTAGTACACCTAACACTCCCCTGCCCCCAGACTGACAATGCTGCTATCTGGTGCGCCCTCTGTGCTCCTTCACCCAGAATGCGGCACACTAATACAAGATGTGTGTTACTGGCCAGATCACCAGATAAAAACAGGATAAAAAAAAGAAAACAAGTACAGCCACCACATCTAATTTTTGGTAAACTGCAATTTACCACATTTTTGGCTTTGGGTTTAATACCGCTTAAGGATGATAGGACTGTAATCCACCATGATAACAATTCTTTTTTTATTTTTACAGACGCCATGACAAATTAAATGAATTATTCTCCACAAAAGATAAATTCATGTTGTGTAAAGGTGTTTGGTTATGAAGGCTCTAAGCCATAAACACAATTTACTGTATATGGGGGCATTACTGACTCATATTTTCACATGAAAGCCATCCTTCATAATAGAGATAAAATCATTAGCCTATGTTGCTAACATGAAAGAATCACCATTGCACTTGGGATTGCAGCTTACATATACAAAGCACTGTTGTTTTTGTGTGAGTGGGATACTTACTGAGTCAACACTTTGCATTTCAAATTTGGACTTTTAAAAAATGTTGTTAAAGCACAACTGACGTTTCAGGGCAAATGGGATTTTATTTTTAGCAATTGTAATTAGGCATTATAGAATAATTCCAGGCATGGCTAAAATAAACATAGTAACATTATTCTAGCTTGTACTAATATAACTACGTATATACCATTTCTGTCTGAAGCCCTTGAAAGCTGGAAATCACTAAAGAAGACAACACTACTCCAGTGATCTCCACTTGCTTCTGGGTCTCACAGTCAGCAGCTACAGTATACTCCTGCTTACAGAACAGAGGAGGTCAGACGCTCAGCTCAGGTGCCATTCAGAGAATGCTTTGGAGAGCGTAATGTCACCATCCACTTGTCCACTTCATCCAGTCAGAGAACGCTTTGCATTTCTTCAGAAAAACCAAAGCATGATCTGAATGGTGCCGTACATAGTTACATAGTTAGTCTGGCTGAAAAAAAGCAACAGTCCATCCAATTCAACCATAAAAAAAAAAGGTATAATCCTACACCTACAGTTGATCCAGAGGAAGGCAAAAAACCCAGCAAAGAAGGATCCAATTTGATCCTGCAAAGGAAAAAATTCCTTCCTGATTCCCGAGAGGCAATCGGATATTCTCTGGATCTACTTTACCTATAAATGTTAATAACCAGTTATATTCTGTGTATCAAAGCAATAATCCAGGACTTTTTTAAAGCATTCCACTGAGCTGACCAGAACCAACTCTTGAGGGAGTCTATTCCACCTTTTCACAGCTCTTACTGTGAAGAAACCTTTCCATGTTTGGAGATTAAATTTATTTTCCTCCAGATGTAAAGAGTGCCCCCTTGTCCTCTGTGATGACCTCAGGGTGAATAACTCTACACTGAGTTCACTATATGAACCACTGATGTATTTATACATATTGATCTCCTCTTCTCAAGAGAGAATAAATTCAGTTCCTCTAATCTTTCCTCATAGCTGAGCTCCTCCATGCCTCTTATCAGTTTGGTTGCCCTTCTATGTACTTTCTCCAGTTCCCCAATGTTCTTTTTGTGAATTGGTGCCCAAAATTGAACTGCATATTCCAGATGACGTGTTACTAATGATTTGTACAGGGGTAAAATGAAATCTCTCTCTCTGGAGTCTATACCTCTTAATACAAGAGAACATTTTGCTCGCTTTAGAAACCGCAGCTTGGCATTGCATTGCATGCCATTATTAAGCTTGTGATCTAGAAGAACTCCCAGATCCTTCTCCACCATTGATTCCCCCAGTTATACCCCCTAGTATGTATGATGCATGCATATTCTTAGCCCCCAAGTGCATAACCTTACATTTATCAAAATTAAACCTCATTTGTCACATAGTTGCCCAATTAAACAGTGCATTGAGGTCAGTTTGTAAGTTGGAGGCATTCTCTAAGGATGTTATTCCACTGCACAGCTTGGTGTCATCTGCAAAGACTGAAATGGTATTTTTAATCCCTGACCCTATATTGTTTATAAGTATATTAAAAAGTAAGGGTCCCAACACTGAACCTTGGGGTACACCACTAACAACCCTAGACCATTCAGAGTATGAATCATTAACCACTACTCTCTGAATACGATCTTGTAGCCAGTTTTCTCTCCATTTACATACAGATTTTTCCAGGTCTGTAGACTTTACCTTACACATTAGCTGTGTGTGGGGAACTGTGTCAAATGCTTTTGCAAAATTCACGTCACATCCACATCCAAGTATACCACATCCACCGCCACCCCTCTGTCCAAGGTTTTGCTCACCTCCTCATAAAAAGAAATCAGATTTGTTTGACAACTTCTGTCTTTCATGAATCCATGCTGTCTGTTGCCTAAAATGTTTTTTTTCCCAGCAAGAACTCATCTATGTGGTCTTTAATTAAACTTTCCAATATCCTTGCAACTATAGAAATTAAACTAACAGGTCTATAATTATTTGGTAAAGATTTTGACCCCTTTTTAAATACTGGCACCACATTGGCCTTACGCCAATTCAGTGGTACTGTACCAGTCATTAAAGAGTTCCTAAAAATTAGAAACAATGGCTTTGAAATGACAGAGCAAAATTATTTAAGGACCCGTGGGTGTATGCCATCCAGTCCAGGTGCTTTATTCATCTTTATTCTGTCTAAATATTTTTTGGATCATATCAATTGTGAGCCAATGTGGATCATCTGGAGCTGTGTCGATACCATGCTCATTATGGACAAGAGCTCCCCCATGCTCCTTTGTATACACAGAACAAAAGAAGGTATTTAATAAATTTACCTTCTCTTTGTCCCCAGTCACCCACTCTAGATTATTTTGTAAAGGGCCTACATGCTTGGACCGGACCTACTTAATATTAATACAATTACCTCCTGTGTTCAGAATGTATTAGTCCAGCCACTCAGGACCTGGAAGTAAGTAGTGATCTCAGGCATTGACTGGGTATGGTGTATACAATGATTGCAAGCTGGAA